TATATAATTTTTCAGACACCGTAAAATTCCGTAACAAAACATATTTTTTCAGTAATCTAGCCACAGAAACTCTGAAAAGCACCCCTTTGAAAAGATCCCCAGAGATGAAAGATTTAGAGCTGAGATAGATAGGTTAAAATCAGATCAGATACCCTCTGGTAATTTAACATAACTATGGAAAATCACCATTTTTAATGGGTAAATCCACTATAAATGGCCATTTTCAATAGCTATGTTAAATTACCAGAGGGTAGATTACTTTGTTTTGGTTTGTGTGTTTGTGTGAAGCATCAGCAAGCACGTGTCCAATTGTACCCAATTGTACCCAGTTTCAGCTATTGGGCCCAAGGCATCCTGCAGTGTTCACCCGTTTCGGGGTTCCCCCCGTTGAAACAGCCATGAAACAGGCGAAACTATCGGATAACCAAGGGCACCCCGATGAGGTCGTGAGGTTGAAGACGGGCTTCATTTGACTAGAATAGAGCTATGGTTGTCTGGTTGGTGGTTTGGAACATGATTTTTATTTTTCCATAGATTGGGAATGTCATCATCCCAACTGACGAAGTCATATTTTTCAGAGGGGTAGGTTGAAACCATCAACCAGTTCTAAGTTGCTTGTACCCATATTTCCAATGAACCATGGTCAGTTGGACAATCAGTCAGCACCGGTGACGACGCCATGGATGATAGCATAGGGCCGGGATGGAGGTGAGGAGTTGCGTGTGGAATCTGCTGGAGATGGAGGTATTTACTGACCAGCTACCCGGTAAACATACAAAAAACCATGGAAAATCACCATTTTTAATGGGACAACTCACTATTTCTATGGCCATTTTCAATAGCTATGCAATGCTATGCAACAAATTACCAGAGGCTAGACATGTTTATACCTTTTTATGGGTTTAGGGCATCTAAGGCAAGTCATGGTACATCATTGGTTTGCTGGTTTGCGTGTTTCTTCCCCAACAAGCTCCAAGTAGCAAAAGCCGAGTTCAAGAAATACGATCTGGTGTTGCCGAGGGGGGTATGGTGGAATTTGCTACCTGATCTACCTGGTGAACTCTAACAATGCCTTGAATACCTAAACCATCAAAGCACCGTGAAGATACCAACATGTTTGGGTAATTAAGACGCGCATGTTCATGTACAATTCATTGTGGGCATTGGTTGGTTTACAGAGCGGGCCCCCCAGTTCCAAGTTGGTCTATAAACTCGCTCAGTCGTAGATGTTTCCACCAGAATCTTAGTTATAATTATAGTTATTGCACAAGTCGTGACAAACCCATACGAAATGGAAAATTTTTCGATACAATTCTGGGCTAATTTTGAGTAATTAATAGTAAGCCACCCCCAACCTTACTATCTTTATGGGTGATATACACCATCAATCCATATCAATCCATTTGGTTGGTTATGGATGGTGACATTGCTTTACAGCATTTTACGAAATTTACGACATAAAAACAAAAACAAAAACATATACAACCATCAAATTGTAGATTGATCATATGGGGGTTTCCAAAAATGGGGGTACCCCCAAATGATCCATTTTAGATTTGGATTTTCCTGTATGAAACATACATTTAAGGCTTCCCCCATTTATGGAAACCCCATTGATGTCGCCAACCAGAACCACCAGAACCATGCTCCAGGCCAAGTTTCTCGTCCACCGTGCAGGCGGCCGTTTTTTTCCTGCCTGTTTTGGAGACCTGTGGCAGTGGTATGTAGTAATGTTATGAATATTTGTACGATTAAGGGTTAGATGTATGGTTAGGTGTATTTATATGTTTAAGATATGTATATATATATATATGTTAGATGTATGTAGTACTGTTATGATTGTTAATTGGGTGATGTAATCTTAACATATCTTTTCAAATGTATTTGATAATGTTATGATGCGGTTTGTCATCTTAACCAGGTAACTGAACCGGCTTGTTTTGGCTGGGTAAGATGTGGCCATGAGAACGGTTTCATACTTGGTGGATCTGGCGCAGTAACTGGTGAAGAACGCTGATGATCGTAAGTTAAGTGGGAGAGTAGCATGCACATAGTTCAGCATATTCAGCCATTATGGTCGTGAATTAACCTGCTAGCTATTACTAGGTGGGATGAAGCTTCAATTTTGCTGAAGTCCATGTGCCGCCTGCTCCCACCCTGAAGCCCAGAAGGATTTCCCGTCGATTTGGGATCTCCAAATCCAATATCCTTGGCACAGCACAGCAACGCCGTAGCCTTTGGCTCACCAGTTCCAGGCGGCGATCCACACTCGCTGCCTTACTTTAACGATGTGGATCGACCGAAAAGATTCGGAGTGTTCCACAGCAGCCAGCGATGATGAGTCGCCTGGATAATGATGGGCGAGCACCTAAAACCTATCCTCTGGTAAACTAACAAAACTTTCGAAAATCACAATTTGCAGTGAGCAAATCAACAAAAATCAACTATCAATGGCCATTCTTAATAGCTATGTTAGTTTACCAGAGGGTAGAGGATTTTGTTCGTTTCAAAGACTACCCCCTGGTAATTTCATATGGCAAGGGACAACTATGGACAACTTCCACTGTGCGAAGGTCTGGGATGACAATCTATAATCATCTATAAACCTTCTATAAATGGGCGACGTTCCATTGCCAGATGTTGTCAGCTTGGATGTCCCGAGACCAACCTGGGATGGAAGATTCGGTTTGAGAAGGACTCAAGCCCAGCAAAATGATGCCGGCAAAATTGATTGATTACTGATGACACTTGCATGTAAAATACGGGAGCAACATTACGTACATGCATACATGCATACATGCATACATGCATACATGCATACATGCATGCATACATGCATACATACATGCATGCATACATACATACATACATACATACATACATACATACATACATACATACGTGCATCCAGCCATCCATACATCCATACATCCATACATCCATGCATCCATGCATCCATGCATCCATGATTCCATGCATCCATGCATCCATGCATCCATGATTCCATGCATCCATGCATCCATGCATCCATGATTCCATGCATCCATCCATCCATCCATCCATCCATCCATCCATCCATCCATACATATGCATAGGCATACTTTCTGAGTGCATAAACATAGAATTACTCGAGCTTCCAGCAGCCATTGAGGTATGTGCACCGAGATGTTGGCAAGTTCCACATTGATGTGGTTATTGCGGCTCGGGTCTGATGATCTGCATTGGGATTATGATCCCCAACGGTACCGAGAAAAGCAACACTTAGGCACTTGGGATTATGGTACAACCATGGTCATGAACTCCATAAGTTGGGATAGAATCCTTATAACGATTGTGAATATGTATATATATATATATGCATATATCATTATAAATCTCTAAATCTATCCATCTATCTACTTGGTTTACTGGAACTGCATCCCCCAAGTAGGGCTTCAGTAAGCTATCAGCTATCGGCTTGGGAGGAAACTGTTGGGAGCAGCGCAGCCCGAACTTGTTTGGCCTCAGTTCTTAGGCGGATTTTCCGTTAATTTCAAGAGCAATAACAGTGACCACAAAAAGATTGATAGAACCAATCCCACAAGTTGAAAGTTACTTCCATATAATTTTTGAGGTGCCTGTAAATATCTGACTCCTATCTGGGTTTATGCAAAGTTGATTCGGTTTGATCAGCTTGAGGTTCCATATCTTGATTCGTCAGCCACAACAAGTAAATACGTAATATAGAATGATTCATGTGATTCAAGTTTGAAAATGTGAAGCTTGAAACAAGCCTTGAGCATGATTGTCCTGTTGTATATGACTGTGGGTTTCTTTTGCCATTCTGAGATGCTGGTGAACATGAGTATGTCCACCTGGAATGTCAGTGGTATAGGATATGTAATGTGGCATGGATCTTCCCTGCTTTGGGGATGAGCTTTGAACGACAATTCTCTTTCTA